TTAATTTTGTATGGAAATTTGTATAGTGGCTCGATGGCGGACTGTCCGGCGATTTTGTGCCGTCCGGGAATTTTGCGCCCAACTCTCTAGAGTTAGCTCCTTAAGTGGAACCGAAGTGGAGCCAACGGGTAAGCGGTCATACATTCCCCGGGGTTTAGCTGCAGACAGGCAACGCCGAAATCTTCGGATATAACTGAAAACTGACGTCAGGGCGGTTGCTAGCACAAAACAATTCCCCTTCGCAACTCTAGGTACCATATTACTATTTACTACCAGACTTGCTCAGTGACAGTTCTAGCATGTCTACCATAACATGAGTATCGACTTCCATTCTGTGCTGTGTTCTTTGCGGTTTGCATCATGCATGGCAATATGAAAATGGGAACAAAGGAGTCACACTGTGCCTTAAACGATGTAACCCGCGGTACGTAGGGTATGTACTCCGTACTGTACATTGAACTTGAGACGTCACTACATGTGAGGTGTCTCGAGAACTGGACGAGTTTGATTTGCTTGCTATTGGATTCTGAATGTTGTCTACACAGACTTGGGATCAGCAATTTGATGCCAAGGACTCAATTGCGATCTCTTGTGACCTTGTTGGACACCTTCGAAGATGTTTTCCGGCTGTGTTTATCTCCGAAATCTTAGCTCCGACTTGGCACATCCCGTCATGATTCGCTCCAGGTGACGAATACTCACTTGAGTCTCCATAACCCAGCGTGCATCATGTATTTTACTGAACGTTAACCAGTGGAACTTGTCAGTAGATTTGTCAGCTACTTAACCAGTGGAACTTGTCAGTAGATTTGTCAGCTACGGAAGACCCGATCGAGGCACTATAAAGTGTAAACTTGGAGAATTGAAGATTCTCCGGCTCAACGGTCAACCTCTTTCGTGCACAGTCCATATCCATTCCACAAACACGAGTCAAAATGGCAACGTATCTGATCACCGGAGCATCTCGTGGTTTGGGACTGACCATTGCGTCTATCCTGGCCTCCCAGCCCGAGTCAGCGGTCGCGACAATCTTTGCGGCTGCACGCCGGGACAATTCTGCTCAACTGAAAGAGCTGAGAGAGAAGCATCCTGGACGAGTCAAGTTCGTCCAGCTGGACGTGAGCGATGACAAGAGTGTCGAGGAGGCCGCCCGTTCCGTTGAACAGGAACTAAATGGCAAGGGTCTTGATGTGTTGATTAATAATGCGGGAGTCATGCCTTGGATCCACGGGGGCATAGAAAAGATGTGTGTGATGGCCCTATTGTTTCATACAAGACTGGAGAAAATTGTCATCAGTGAGGTGGCTAACAATGGTATCGGCAATACTACCTAGGGACGATCTGAATGACACCTTCAACACCAACGTCACTGGTGTCCATCGCGCGACCAGGCATTTCCTGCCACTGTTGCGCAAAGGCCAGCAGAAAAAAGTGGTGAACATGTAAGACGAAAGCTGTTAGTCTCACTTGGGAAATACCTCAGCTGATGAGAAATGTCCAAGTTCATCATCCGTCGGCTCCATTTCTTTGGCTTCTCGATACCAGCACTTGTCCACACCGTCGTATAAGATTACCAAGGCTGCCTTGAATGCTCTGACGGTCGATTATGGCCTCACATTTGCCAAGGAAGGGTTCACCTTCATTGTAATAAGCCCGGGTGTGAGTACCTCCTTCGTCATCTCCCCGGCTTGCAATGAGAGTCAGGGGCATTCACATACGAAACGTAGCTAATGTCGACACAGTGGCTCCAAACAGACCTTGGTGGAAGCGCAGCTGATCTGCCAGTTGAAGTTGGTGCGAAGGAAGTGGTCCGGATCACCAACGAAGCAACTAAAGATGACAATGGGAAGTTCTTCGATATTAACGTTCCCCAATGGGATTCAAAGGACAGCCGTGATGCCGGGATGTACCGTGGCAGTATTCTTCCATGGTAATACTCTAGTGCTCTGTAAGAAGGGCTCAGCGAATGTATGTACGTAGCATAGGTTTTGAAACGGCCGAGTCTAATGTTTTTTCTTGTCAAGCTGTCATTTACATACCTACCTAACATTGAACGGTGATAAAAACAGGAACCCCGATTGCTTGTTGCAACCGAGCCATGGCCATTAGCCTAATAGCCTTATATTCTCAACAAACGGGGCTTCCTCATCTTTTCTTTTACACTTGTACCATGGAGTGTCAGTCCTTCAAACCAGACATGGCCCCTGCCGGGCCTCACCGACGTCTCAACATATGGGACATCACAAGCCCCCTGATATGCAGAGCAAACTTCTCGTATTTGATATGTTTCACATTCCTCGCATTGCTAAGTGCCTTAATCCTAACTGCAACATTCCGCCTTTCGTGCATGCGGCGCCGGACATGTGCATCCCATGGTACAAAACAAACGGTATAAACCCTTATTCAAGTCCTGTCCAGTCATCACCTGCATCTGCACTAACGTTACTAGATATCGTTAGATATCTTTGTGTGCAGCGGCGAACCACACCGCCTCATTCTGTTGCCACCCCCGTGCCAAAAGAAGAAAATTAAAACCTAACCCAAAGCCACGTTCTAAACACCAGCTACGCCTCCGGAAATTCATCAGCCGGTCCAACTTGATATACGCTCACCAGGTTATATTCTTCTCAGTCGTGCGCCTTTTGCCTTTTTGAAGTGGCCGGGTCATCGAGATGATGCCATCCCGCAAAGTCAAGCTTCGGTTCAGCAAAAAAGTCGGCTCTGTCTCCCCTGAACGACTCAATGCGGAGCTCATCGCCAATTATGGACAAGGCAACTTCCAAGTAGACGTACGTTCCTTCGTTTCGTGCCTTACCTTACTCAACCCTCCTTCCTGGTTTGTGCATTCCACTTACATACAACGCCCTCACAGATCGAGCAAGACGTGTTCTACATTACGGTATTTGACGGAACATCTGCCACGGATGATTCAAACCCCCTTGATCCAGACTCCCAAGGTCCGGTGACCCTCAGCTGAACGTTGAGCTGGGTTCTGAACACATTCTCAACTTCCTGGAGAAATGTTGCAACCAGGGGGCTTGAGCGGTGGATGCGGAATCCGCCGTGGAAGAGAGGAAAGAGATGGTTGCTAACCTCTATATGGAAATAAAGAGGGCATAGGGCATGCGTATGATGGGCTGGAGCTTCAAGATTTGTATCCAATCAATCCTCGTTCTGTGGGTTTGGCCTTGCTATTCGTTCCAGTCGTTTCTCACCTTGCCACCCACTGAATCTTGCTCATCACGACTGCTTCTAAGCTCCGGTCCTTTCACGAGTTGGCGATGAAACTTTTGCAAAGGACTCGGATCCTTGGACAGAGTCAGCTTACACCGCCTGAGCAACATCATAGAAACTGTTGCGTCGTCACATGGTGTCGTCTGACCACCTCTACCACCTCAAGATGAGGCTTTGGGCGAATCCAAATCAGCCCACCAAGAGATAGTAGCCAAAGGCGAAATCCTCCGACTCGAGATTCCTGCAACTGTGATTCGTGCCCGGCCGTCGAATCTCCCCTTGGCTACTCACGGCCTCCCAGAGGAACTGGTTGGCTCTTCGCCAGATTTGGCTTGTTTCCTGATGAGGAACACCTTCTTGACGTCAAATGCTTTCTCAGGAGCCGCAGCATAGCCCCTCTGGTTGGATACGACCCTTTTCCCTCGCTCGTCAATGAAATCGCAGGAGAAGTGGGTGTGCCCAAACGCCCACATGACGACCGCCGTGTTCGTCCAGCACTCCTCCAGGCGCAGGTCGGTGGCGAAGCCCGACGACACAGCGCTATTTCGATGCCGCTCGTCGACGGCTCGCGTATCAAGGGTCGGGCTGTGGTGCGTGAAGATGACAATTTCCCGCTGGGGCTCGGATTTAGATATCATGGAGACCTGGTCGTTCAGCCACTTCAAGTCCGCGGCGTGAGCCTCGAGATGGTCTTCAACGGTCCAATTTTGGATTTGCTGGAAGTCGACGAGACGGGCGGCGACCGCGCTATATTGCTCCTTGGTGATCCGCGAAAACAACGTGCAGCCCAGCACGGTGAGGGTGTCGTTGAGATCGTGTCGCCTTTGGTCGAGGAAAACAAAGCGGCCGATGGTGGACCGAATCCTCAGTTGCTCCATCCTGTCGGCGAAGCTGCGCAGCCTTTGCTTCGCGGCGGGCCAGCTGCCTGAGAGGGGTTCATGGTTCCCCGCAACAAAGTAGACATTCCAGTACCGCCGGAGTTGCCGTTCGAGAAAGACAAAGAGGCCGTCGTCTCCTACTTTGCCAATGTCACCGAGCAATGCTAGATTTGGCGCTGTTTGTCTGAAATTGAAGTCGTATGAGGCTTGCGTCTCGAGGTGCAAATCGGAAAGAATCTGGAAAGTCGCCGACGACATATCCGTAGTAGACGTTGTTTCAGATTCTCAGTTGCTGGGGTAGCAGGATGCCAGAAATGCAGAGAATCGCAGTGGTCAGGAATTTCCAGCCTATCGAACCAAGAACCGGTGAGCGGTTGGGCATGGCGCTGCTGCCTGTCAGCAGGAGGGCTGGGAGTCCCATTCAGGTTGGTGCGTCATACTCTGGCACACCGAAGCGCATCCGGCGAGCGATTGGTAACACCCTCCTCGAAGTTCTTCGTAGGTCTTCACCCCTTTAATGACGACTAGTCCTTGGTTTCACCCTTGGTCCGGGTATGTTGATGCCGAAGAAAGTTGTCTGTGCTCAAGGTTATCCAGCGGATTTCCAGAATATCAACACAGGGAGAGTCTGGTATTCCTAACACCAGGGTCAAGACCAAGCCCCCACAAACCATGCATGTCGCCTTCATTCCCTCAACTACCCCCTCTTTCCCTTGAAGAAGCCACTCAATCCCCCCATCAGACCCTGCAGCCCCTTCTTATCCGATCCCTCAACCAGACCGCCCTTGATCCACCCAGGCAGCTTCTCCTGAATCCTTTGCGTGCCAAACCTCCTGTCAACCAACACCACGGCAGCATAATCCCCCCGATGCCGGATCGCGCGGCCAATACTCTGGTTGACCGCCCGCATGCACGCATTCTCGTAGAAATCCCTCGCTGCCTGTTTCGCCAACGCCATCGCCTCTTCTTTGCCCACACTTTCACTCTCCCCAGCCCCGTCCCGAAGCCTAGCCAGTGTGGCGCTCTCAATGTACTCCACCCTTGCCTTCCATTCGGGCGAGTTGATGTTTGGATATGGCAGCCCCACAACGAGCACGCACCGCCCAAGCCGGTCCGAGAAGTTGATGCCCTCGGACAACTTCCCGCCGACCACGCTGAGGAGGAGCGCACCACGCCCACCGGCTGCAGAAGTTGTCCCAGGAGGGGGTGATAAGATAGCCTGCGAGTAGTTTTGCAGGATCTCGTCGCTGGATCCTCCCCTGGTTTCGTAGAAAAGGGATTTCTTCGCCGCCAGCCTGTTCCACAGAGTCTGTGCACCGCCTGCAGTGGGTTGCTGCTCGGCAGCCTGCCATGCCGAGACAACTTCGTCCAGATACCCGTAGCTGGGGAAGAAGACGACCACGCCGTCGGGCACGACGGAGCAGATGTTGAGAAGCGCGAGGCCGAGTTGGCGGATCATGGCGCGGTCGCTGCGCTTCTGGAAGCTAAACTCAAAGGCATCTTGTGGTAGGGCGGCAGCGGAATTACCGCTGCTAGAACGGATAGGCCGTGTCGAGGCCAAGGCCCAAACGAAAAGGTTCGATGCGGGAATGACGTGTCCGCAGCTGAGGGTTGTGATTTTGCTCGGTGGGAGCGTCGGGAAGAGGTGGGCTTTGTAGTCATCGAATGGAGACATGGTGCCTCCAGCTAGGATGATGGTCCTGGCTGATGAGGCGATGGACGAGAAGGCGTGCGTGGGGGATAATAGAAGGTACGAGAGTTTGATGTCGGGAGGGACTGAAGAGAGCTTCTCGTAGAAGATCCGGCCCTCGGAGCTCAGGTTTGTGAGCGCAATGAGAAATGAGACAAGCGTGTGGAGAACCGGTGATGATGAGCTTGTTTGCTGAGGCGTCGTGGGCTCCTCCGCTGCCGCTTGTATGTGGCTTGCATAACCCTCGACTTTGTAAGCCAATTTGGATTCCTGAATGTATCTGACCAACTGATACAAGTTGATTTGATCCGCCCCTCGGCCCTTGAGAAGCATATTGGAATCGGCAATGCCTTGGTCGCCCTAACAAGAACTCAGTATTCCTCCTGTGTGGACTGTGGTGACGAGAGACGCTTACCTTTTCCTTGAGCGCTGTGTCTAGCCACTCACTTAAAGACTCCACAACCCTCCCTACTTGAGCTATCATGACGCGGTTTTCCCCCTTCAGCTTCTTGCCGAACCGCTTCACGTACATACCCAACACCTGTCTAGCTTTTTTAAGTTGGCTCAAGCGGATCTCCGCGGAATGTACATTTGCGACAGCATCCATGATGTTGTGTGCCTCGTCGATAATAACAACGTTCCCTTCCAGGTTTATGCCGAGCGCCTCTCTCGCGCTCCTCTGGAGAAGTAATGGGTAAGGAAGAGTAATGACTTCGGCCCCTGGAATCGCCGTCCGCGACGCATAGTAAGGGCATATCTGGAGTTCCTTGCCTACCCTGTACATGTCTTCGATATCGGGCACTGTTGCTAGGACTGTGTCTCGAAACTGATGTGTCTGCTTCTGGTTTTCAGGGTTGGGCATAAAGGGGCACTTCTCTTTTGACTGCTGCAATTCTGTACATCGGTCATTGATCGCGGCCAGGGATCCCAGACGCGCAACCGAGGGGTTGACGCACAGCTTCTGCCTCGATGACAGAGGTAACTGCTTGACAATTTCTGTGGCAGACTCTTTCCCATCTCCTTCGCGCGAAACCATCTTGTCTGGTAAAGAAGGTGGGAAAGCCGGGCGTCGCAGTTCCGCAATGAACTGAGTCAGCTGCGAGTGAGTCCGAGAAGTGTAGTATATCTACTTCTGTCAGCCAGTTTCAGAAATCTTCTTAAGCCTGGGGATCAGTCACCTTGACTTCTTCCTCCACCCCCGCCTCCTCCTCGCTCCTCCTCACTCCGCCCCCAAGACCAACCTTTTCCATCAGTGCCCTGGTTTCTTTGCTCAACTGCCCCAAGGAATCCCCATCGTCCACCTCAACACTCTCCCAGCCTGTAATCAGAAACTCCCTCTCCTCGTTCACCTCGCTCTTGACCTTCTCGTCATCAACTCGGATCCTCTTTCTGCCCCTCTCCATCGCCCGCTCTTCCATTTCCTTTTCTCTCTGGCGCACTCTTTCCATCGCCTTTTCCCTCTCCTCCCACTTGCGAGCTAGCTCTTCCCTCTTCCTCCGCAGGGCATTGTCGACCATCCAGTCTGGCTCGCCGGTCATCGCAGAGGCTGTCGCCTCGAAGGAGGCTTCATATTTGCTGCGTTTGTGGGTGCGTAACCAGGTGAGAGCCGAGCAAATTAAAGAGAGAGATTTCCCCTGTATTCCCGGGGTGAGTGATCAGCACATGTTGTTGTTTGGTAAGTACCTAATCCAGAGAGAGTGAGGCACCGAAGGGGTTGGACATACAGTGCCGGTTGGACTTTCCAATATTCCGATTTGGCCATTTCCTTTTTCGAGGACATCGTAGACAGTGCGCATAAATTGGAGTTGGACATCGTAGGGAGTGAAAGGGTGATGGAAGTCGATTGCTTTGGCCTGTGGATCGCTCATGTTGAAAAGTGAGATACTCCACTGTTCAAATTGTGAATGAGCATAGCATTTATGGTGAAAGGTGATTGGAGTTATGGAAGAATATAAGAATGAGAAAGTCAAGTGCTGCCGAGTAGGTACTCGCCAATCGCCATATCCGCTGTGAATTTTCCGGTGTGCAAGAAAACTGCTTGAGGTCTTGCTGTTGGCTTGGGAAGGCCTGGGAGGATGGGAGAAGAGTGCTCCACAAAAAGAGAATGGCTCCGCAAGGACGCGCAAGGGTAGGGTCATACGTATTTGAGTGGCACATCCCCACCAGCCTTCTACCCCTCGAAGTTCGAACTCGAAAACTCCAAACATCCAACATTTCAAAGCTTCCACCATAATGTTTCGGGATCCAGGGCATACAACGTCAATTCTCACCCACTGCAATCGGCCACGCATTCACAGCGTCACCATGGCCCACTCATAATCAGATCGCATCGTCGGTATCATGAGATCGAAGGTGACGAAGAAGACGAAAACTTCCCAAGCTGTTGAATTCCTCCTAGCCGCCTAATTCCTCCTAAGAGCCAATCGACCTCTCCACCTCACGCTGAGCACGTCAGCCCTGCAAGTAGCCGAGATGGCGTGTGCGCACAGCGGCGCGTGGCGTAGCAAGGAGGCAGTAGAGATGGGTTCAAGCCCGACTGGAGGGCGCGATCCCGGACACGCTACGAGGAGGGAGGGCGTGGACCGGCGCAGGCGCACAGGGGGTGCGAGGGAAGCCGCTGGCCGGCTCGGGGACCGCACCGCCGCAGCTAAGGGTACCTGAACTTGAAACTCAAAAAGACGGAGAAGCCGTCGACGGATGTGAGAGAATCGTTTACAGTCAACACGTCAACTGCAACTTGGCACTTTGATGTACGATGTCACATCGATCATCAGGTGCGACATGTTCACCTCCAGCCAGGTCAGGATGGGGAAAATAAAGGCGCTCAAGTTAACTATCGGATGCTATAGCTCAAGGTATGTCGACCCTGGCTACATGTATGTACAACTTCGCATCTGATGACATGTACAAGAATTGAACTCAAAAGACTCTCGGATCCACCAGGCACTCTGTCTCCGAGTCGAAGCTCCCGTCGGTACCCTGGCAAAATAGGTCCTCTGACCGGAGAGATCAGCTGTGGGCCACATCACCGCCTAGACAGGATCTTGGACTTACCAGCGGGTCTGCACGTAGATATCCGAGTTGCCGCTGCTCTGGTAGCCCTCGGTGGCGACAATCTGGTAGTAGTGCTGGCCGAGGTTCATGCCATAACGGGCCCAGGCGTTGAAGTGGTTCTGCATGGTGACCGAGCCGCCGACGCGCTTGGAGGTGCGGACGGACCAGTACTGCTGGAAGGTGCGTGTGCCGTCGATCGAGGGCTGGTTGTAGCGGGTCGAGACGTAGATGTTGTAAGTGCCGCCGTCGGTATTGACGGTGCCCTTGTACTGGCCGCCGCTGCCGGGGTTGTAGGTACCGTACGACTCAACGACGTAGTACTCGACGAGAGGGTTGCGAGTCCAGCCGTAGACGGCCAAGTAGCCGTTGCCGCTGGGGTTGAATGAGCCACCGTAGTTGATGGTGCTGTGGATCAGATAGACTCATCAGCCAAGACCCGGGAATCATAACGGCAGTTACGGCACATGGGGACCCATGGTAACAAGGGGACAGGGGGCAGGGAGACAGGGGCTCAGGGGGAAGGGGGCAGGGGGCTTGGAGGGGCCGATGAAGATCATACCGGCCAGTACCGGGGTTCCAGCCCTTGCCACCAACAAAGTTGCCGGTGTTCCTCCAGTTCACAGTGTACCGGCTGCCCTCAAGGTTGGTGTAGGTAGCCTGGCCGCCGCCGTCGGACCACCAGGAGTAGAAGTAGCCGTTATGGTAGCCCTCGGCGTTGCCCGTCGTCTGACGAGCCTCCAGCGCAGTCGAGTTGCCATCGTCCCGCTCGAGGAAGTCAAACGGTCGGCTGAGAGCGGTAGTGGCCGCCGTCGCGGCAAGGAGGAGAGACTTGAACGAGACCATGGTTGTAAATGGCGGGGAGCAGCTGGGGAACAGGTCTGGATATCGATCTGGGATGAGAAGCCTGATGGTTTGGGTCGAAGATCGACGCTGCGGTGGTGGCTTTATGTATTCTGCCCTTGTTGTTACTTGAACACTTTCTTTGACATCTCGCCACCAGGGGAACGAAGTCCTGGATCATGTCGGGTATCATTCTAAGTCTGGCGGAATCATGGCCTCCGAACCTCAATCTCCGGCGGGCCGAAAAGCGATCCATGATGGCAGGCAGGTTGAGTCGTCATTCAGAAGCTTCAAATCACTCTTACTGTGTACGGCCATATCGCCTTATTCGGCGCGCTTCTTCATTGCACATCTCCTTGTCTTCCAGGTTTGCAGTCGTGGGCGAAGCCTCGATGCTCAGCTTACACGCAAGATTTCCAGGTTAGGAAAGTCAGTTGCAACCTATCACATCGTCTCCAAGTTTAGGCTAAATAAGAAAAAGCGACGGTGGTTTCGGGGCCCATGGAGTTGGAACAGCCTTGGCCAGCCTTGGCGGTTATCCAGTTCCCATCTCTCTTGTGGAAGTTGTGGGGTCTCATGTCCATACACCTAGGATACGGTCCTCCCTCAGGTCGATGGGTGGTAACATTCTCAGGCCAAGCCCTAAGCGCTGGCATGTCCTTGTAACGGGAGTATTCTATCTTTAAGGGTAGATCGAAACGGCGCCAACCAAACTCAAAGCTCGGTCGGGAGGAGCTCGAGGTGAATCATGGATGAATGTAAGTTGACATCCAACTGCTCGAGAGACGTTGGCGAAGATCTGTCTCAACGAGGTTATAAGACAACAAGCCAAGCAATATGGGGGGCAATGATAAGTCAGATAAGGTATAACTAATGCTACTCTCGACAGTAGTCAGCTTGAGTGCGATGTGAATACTCCCCCCCTTCTCAGGTTCAAGTTCACTGCCTGGCAGTAGAGGACTAGAGGTGTCATCGATGATCGATGTCTTCATGTTGCTTTCGAAATCAATGGAAATCGAGAGACAATACAGGCCAATGAGTGTCCCGACCGTAGTATTCGGGGTCATGCGTGGTGCCTGTCAAGCCATCCTTGTATAAGCGCACGAGTCACCACGACGTGCCGTCCTCTTATGCTACATCAGATGATCATACTGCCATCCCAGATCACACCCTCCCTAGGCTCTACCTGGATCTACCATGACTACCCTAGGTAGTGTAGGCCTGGCTGGCTCACAGCCTCACACACGCTCCCCGCTCTCGCAAGCAAACATTGAAAACGGCGAAGTTTGACCAAGCTCCCCCTTATTGGCGGTGAGCCGAAGCCCCATTCAGCCAGGGTGAAATCATCTTCCCAGGAACCGGGTTCCTAGTGCAGCTGATGATACAAAGGCTAAAGTTAGGGGGTCGTGAGCCCACCCCGGTTCCTTAATGACCGTTCCACTGGAGGGTCGCTCCCTTGAGCTTGATATAGTAAGATGCCGCAGTTAGCATAGAATCGGCTAGCGTCAGCGGGGATGCCTTCAGTTGGAGTACATAATCCGGGGTTGCGAACCGAAAACGCCCTCACCACGTGGCTATTTTGCCTAAATACAGGACTACCAGGTAGCACTGCCGTCACGTCTTGCATGACAAAAATTGTGAGCATACGAAAATTGCTGGCTGTACGGAGTAGAATTGTACAACATGAAAGGAAATAATAAGAAAACTGGAAAGCCGGACGCTTAGACGGCTAGGTATGCTAGGGCAGCCTGGGGGATACTTCGTACTCGGAAATCATAGTGAAGCTGATGGGCCCCCAATGGCCAGGGCCTTCCCCTGCCGTATCGGGCCGGTATAGGGCATCCGAAATAGCGTTGCGGAGCCTGGAACGGTGAGTGGGTTCGACTGGATTCCCTGTTGTTGCTCCCTGTTGTTGCTTCCTGGATGCCCCTCTATTCAGTAGGTATTCACTTATGCCTTATGGCATTGAAAGTAAAAAGAACTAAGGTATTATGTTGCAGAGAAGGGAAGTAGGAAATTTACGCTGGCATTGGGGAGGTTGACCGCCGCATGATGCCGCACTAGCATTTTGCCGAGGCACTACATAAGGTAGTCACGTCTTGTTGACATCGGGCGTCCGGTGAAAATGACCATCCTGATTACATGTATAGTTGTGGTACTTACTCGATATAAAACTACGACGGGCACTGCCTTTTGGCTCGATCTCCGTATCCACCTCACTCGGCGGCCCCTACTTATCTTGCAGTGAGAAGTAGCCCCTGAGTGACAACGAAGATCGAGCCAACCGGTACCCGGCATCAAGCCCAACCATGATCCATGCCTCGCTTACCTTACTTTTACTTACTGTTTTCTCCGACAGCCGTTCAACGGCAAGAAATTAGAGTACGGCCATATCCACTTTTGATCGCCGTTCTTGAATTGAAGCCGAGATCTGCGGATATTGATAATAAGAGACACTAGGGTACCTAGGGCGAGCAGTGCCGAGCAGATCCAGATGCCGCTAGCTTTGATGGGCTTAGTGTACTTTTGCTTGAGTATGTACTGTCAGCGTAGTGTATCAGAATCTGAGAAAAAGGCAAATTAAAAGGTTCTCCTTAACTTCAGAGACGGCCAGAACTGGGCCAGAACTGGGCCAGTACCCGGATGTAGTAGTGAGCTACCCGTAGGCCAGCAGCTACTCGGAGTCCTAAGTCCTAGATGAGTTCGAGGCCCTGCTGGCCTCCTGACGTGCCCATCGTGCCAGCACCGGTCAACACTGAACACGTCAAAAAGCGGGTGATGGCCACATACGATCAGGTAGTACTGTACATACTTGGATATCAACAATGCTTGAACCCACACGAAACACCCGCACGAAACGCCCACCCATCGAACCTCTCATGGCAAATGTATGATACACTCATGACAGACACCCAACTTCGCAAATGCTGCTCGCCTCAAACTTTCAGAATGTCCATCTCATCGTCATCCTCCCCGGACCCTCCCTCCACCGGCTCATCAAGGCCCATGCGGAGGAATTCATGGGACAGCGCGTCTTCGGCGCTGAGGCGCTTGCTTGGATCCAACTCCATGCACTTGCCCAGGAACTCCACAGCCAGCTTCTCCTCGTCCGACAGACCTTTTCCCGGCCCATCACGTTGTGTGCTCCACAAGATGATGCTCTCGAGACTGAACCCTGAACTTCCAATGGTGGGGATGGTGGTCTCGAACATGCAACCATGGAGCAGCGCGGCCGCACGCATCCGCTTCTGACCAAATATGGTCGCAATCTCGATCAGCGCCTCGACGTCGTCCGCCGAGTTGAAGAAGGGGAACCGCCGTGACATAATCGTCAGCAGGATCACCCCGGCGCTCCATATGTCAATCTTGGTCGTCTGCTCCGTGCACTTGAACAGCACCTCGGGCGCGCGGAAGCCGCGTGTGCCGGCGCGGTTGGCCCGCCGCGACGGCCGCGTGTCTTCCCTCGGATAGCCGTTGTGGGGCGCGGAGCTCGCGAGATGGGCCGCGCGCAGCTTGGCCTTGCGCTGCACCGGGTCGTCGTGGCAGATGCAGGGCTTGCAATCGTAACCCTCGCGCTCGGCCAGACCAAAGTCCACCAGGACGCCCCGCCGCGAATCCGGGTCGTAGAGAAAGTTGGTTGGCTTGATGTCGCGGTGGAGGATCCCGTGAGAGTGCACGCTTGCGAGGGCCGTGAAGAGAGACCGCAGATAGATGGCCATGTCTGGGACCGTCATCTTGCGGAAGTAATCGCGGAAGTCGGCGTGCCGGAAATAGGGCAGGATGGCGCACACCTGGTCCGTCGAGCGAAAAGCCGTGATCAACGGGCAGACAGCTTCACAACCGCGCAGGTCGTGCAGCAGTTCTAGCTCGTTGAGGATCCGGGTCGGCGAGGACGTGACGTAGATCTTCTTGACGGCGACATATTTTCTCGTCTTTCTCTTCACTTCTTCGTCAAACCACAAACGGTCCATAACACACTGCATGGTCTTGTATTTTCCAACCGGACGAGGTGGCACAAAGGTATCGTCCTTCTCTGGGTCCCACGAGTTGTCATAGTCCCAGTAATCCAAGTCGATTGCCTTGTAGACGGTGGAAAAGGTGCCTGGGTTATGGACCGAGTTAGCTGGGCAAGGGTCACCAACGAAAGCGAAGGAGAATTCCAACCTTCACCAATCCGCTTGATCAGTCGGTACTTTTGCCTGAAACCGGGAAATGTGTCCTGCAGTTTCTCCATGTCCCGCTGGATGCTGCTTTCTTCGGTCTCATCATCTGAGCTTTCCGAGTATTCCGACTCCGGGTTGTCAACAGCTTCCGGGTCGCCTTTTTCCTTGTCTCTTTCGTCGCCCTCTTCCTGCTCCTGCAATTCATTCTCGTTCATCTGGGTGTCTTCGGTGGATGGTGCATCTTCGTGTATGCGGAAGGACTCTGCCGGGCGTTGCCGTGAAGCTGTTAAAGTCGCCATTGCCGACGGACAAGGCGCGACACAATTGGAGGAATCGGACCCCCTCGACAGTCGACGCTTGACGCCCAGCCCTACCGAAATATTATTGGCAGTGCATGTGCGATAGGCAATCCGCAATGCCGTGCAAAGCTGCCAATGGTCAAAATTACCAAATTGGTCGGGTCAATTGGTGGGATACCAGGTTTGAAGTGCGGACAGGAGGAAAAGGTGTGTGTACGGAGTACCCGTAGTTAATCATCTGTTAACGTTTAGTGAACATTACCAGCAAAAGTTACTTTTGGTGAGGGGCAACGCACAGACCAAGACGCGAGGAGCTGAGGGTCCTGCTGAGCAGACGCGATCTGGGTGCCGCACAAAAAAGTCAACAAACAAATTCGGCGGTTGCCAGGGCCCCGCATTGCGGCAGGAGGAACCAGGGCAGGCACAGCTAGAGTGCATTCCAAGGATTACAAACTCCAAGTTTGCGATGCACGATGCATTCTCGGAACGGATGACAACTTGCGACAGCTACCCGCAGCACGACAACCGCGAGCCTAATAATCAACGCTACGGTAGCTGCATTCTTCGCATTTCATTCATAACCAATCTTCCTCCTCCCATCTACCCACCGGCGCCTCCTCCTGATCCCCGCTGTCGCAACTGCCCCTCCCCAACTGTTGTTGTCCGCCATGGACAACGTCAACTTCGACATCAACGATGCGCTCAAGCATTACATGAGCGATCCCGCCAGCATCCCGACGCCAGAGGCCGATGGAGCGCTCGTCGACTGCGAGAGCGATCCAGAGTTGCTGGCCGACAACGCCCTCATCAACGGCGTCCTCAACCCCATCGTCGATGCTGTCGCCGAGAACCCAGATGCCATAACGCGCAGCCCCATCTTTGACTCATTGCAGTTTCTGCTAAAGTGTGCACCCATTTCCTCCTACCCCTCGCTTTCCTACCCAAGAGAGACATCATCGCTATCGGCGGCGGATACACCTCCTGCCCGACGCCAGCATACTCTAGCCACAGGCCATTGTTTGCGGGAATGTGATTCTGAGCTGTTCAAACAATCCAGGTATACCTCCTTCTTGTCGGCGCATGCTTTGAGCAAGATATTTGACCTGATCACCTCGGGCTTGGCCACCGAGGCCGACGTCATCCACAATGACCTCGAATCCGACGAGCAGGAGCTCATGGCCCACCACAAGCAGCTGCTCGAAATGTACGGCTTTCTGCTGCAGTGGACTATCGCCGCCGTCGAAACCAAGGCTTCCGAGAAGTCATCGGCGACCGTTCCTACCCGTGGCCGCGGAAAGCCGAAGAGCAAGAAGGATGCCGGCAAGGACGGCACATGGGATTCGTCGACGCAGCTCGAGACAGCACTCAACACAATGTGCAAAGTGCTGCGACTAAAACTCGGCAAGATTTTCTTGACAACGTCAGAGCGCGACACCTTCATCTCCCTGCTGACACGGCCGATTTACATGATCCTCGAGAGCGAGCAGCGGGTCAAGAGCACCAGCATCCGGATGCACGCTTTCAAGGTGCTCTGCATCGCCGTCAAACATCATGGCCACGGATACGGTGGGTCTATCGCATTGTGCTGGAATTACGACACTGACATATTCTCTAGCCGCTCAAATATCCATTGTCCAGAACTTGACGTACTTTGAGCACTTGTCAGAGCCGATGGCCGAGTTCCTCCATATCCTGGCGGAGCAATACGACTACCCGCAGCTGGCGGACGAAGTTTTGCGCGAGCTCAGCAATAAGGAGTTCAATAGCAATGACACCAAAGGACCCAAGTCGGTCTCGACATTCATGGTCAAGCTCTCGGAGCTAGCCCCTAGGCTGGTCATTAAGCAGGTGACTCTTCTAGCCAAACAATTGGACAGCGAGGTATGCCAGACCGTCTCTGAGCCGGGGCGCAAAGCTAACGTATGCAGTCCTACACCCTTCGTTGTGCGCTCATAGAAGTCTTCGGCAACATGCTTGCCCACCTTAGCAAATCGGAGGAAAGGGGCGAGAACCACAAGACCCAGATGAACGCGTTCTTTGACGTGTTGGAAGAGCGCTTCCTCGACATCAACCCCTACTGCCGGTGCAGGACTATTCAAGTGTATATCAAGCTCTGCGAGCTGGAACAGAAGTTTCCCAAGCGGAGGCAGAAAGCCGCCGAATTAGCGTGTCGCAGTCTCGAAGACAAGAGCAGCCATGTGAGGAGGAACGCGATTAAGCTTCTAGGAACTCTGATTCGGACCCATCCCTTTACGGCACTCCACGGTGCGCAGTTGGCCAGGAAGGACTGGCAAGAACGGCTGGAAAAGGTCGAATCCGAGCTCAACGCCCTGAAACCCCCGGTGGATGCCCCTGGCCTCGACGGCGACAAGGGCAACACGACAGTGGACCAGGGTTTGTTGGACGATGCCACGCAGGTCGAGTCCCCGAAGAAACCCGCCGCGGAGATGACCGACGAGGAGAAAATCGCGGCCGTTCGTAAAGCTCAAGAGGAGGCGGCTACGTCCGAAGCGATCGAGAAGCTTACTCTCACGAAGCGGTATTATACCGAGGCGCTCAAGTTCATTGATGTGCTTCATGATGCGACCGGTATGGTGTGCCAACTGCTTGGTTCCAAGAACAAGAGCGAAGTCATCGAGGCCATGGACTTTTTCGAGATCGGGGATGCGTACAACATCGAGGAGAATAAGGTTGGCATCCGCCGTATGCTCCGGCTTATATGGACCAAGGGCAACAGTGATGAGGGCAAGGGTGTGCAAACCCACCTAATCGAGTGCTACAAACGACTTTTCTTCGAGGCCCCAGAGAGCTTCAGCCCCAACGACGCTGCCAACTACATTGCCCGAAACATGATTAGTTTGACCTTTGGCGCGACTCCCGCCGAACTCACCTCTCTCGAACAGCTTCTGAGCACCATGATGAAGCAAGCCATGATCTCTGACCTTGTCATATCGAAGCTCTGGCAGGTGTATGGTATCCAAAAGCGGGAGATATCCAGGAAGCAAAGAAGAGGGGCAATTATTGTTCTTGGGATGCTCGCAACCGCGAGCCCCGAGATTGTCGTCGGCGAAATGGAAACGATGCTTCGCACTGGGCTTGGAGCTCATGGCCGCGCCGATTTGCAGCTTGCCAAGTATACCTGCGTCGCCCTCCGGCGCATCAACCCTACGGGACGTCAAGCCAAGGAGTCCACAGTCACATTCTCCCGGTTGCCGAACGACCACGCAGTGCTGGTGCGACTTGCCGCTATCACGGAAGTTCCATCGGAGAGTAAGGACTGGTACGGTGTTGCCGAACAGGCCATCAATGCCATCTACGCCATTTCCCGGCACCCTGACGTGCTCTGCTCTGAGCTCATCCGTCGGAAAACGAGAGCAGTGTTTGCTCGTCCATCCTCACGTCCATCCTCGCGCCCAACCTCTCGGGACGAGGCCCAATCGGCACATAGCCCAGTCTCCGCTGGTGAGGGGGTCGAAGAAGGCCAGACCGTTATCGCTCCATCATCGCAGCCGCCTTCGAGTCCCGCGAAGAGACAGAATAAGGACAACGCCATCGGTCTTTCCCAACTTCTCTTCATCGTCGGCCACGTTGCTATCAAGCAGATCGTCCACCTGGAACTCTGCGAGCTAGACTTCAAGCGGCGCAAGCAAGAAAAAGAAAAGACAGCCGGCGCCAACAAGGAGCGCTCATCCCTTGGCGCAAGCACCTCCAGCCGCAGACCATTAGGCCAGGTCAAAGATAAGTCCAAGGTCGCCGACGAAGAAGGCGACGAACTCGACCTCATCGGCGGCACGACAGAGGACGACTTCACCGAGGCCATGGCGCACATCCGAGAGCGCGAGCTGCTCTACGGGCCGAACTCGCTGCTCGCCATGTTCGGCCCCATGGTCAGCGAAATTTGCGCCAACAACACCACGTACCGCGACCGCAACCTTCAGCAGGCGGCCACCCTGTGTCTCGCCAAACTGATGTGCGTCTCGTCAGAGTACTGCGAGGCGCACCTGCCGCTGCTGATCACCATCATGGAGCGGTCGGCCGACGCAACAGTGCGCAGCAACGCCGTGATTGCCCTGGGCGACATGGCCGTGTGCTTCAACCACTTGATTGACGAGAACACGGACTTCCTCTATCGTCGCCTGGCGGACCCGGACCCGTCGGTCAAGCGCACCTGCCTCATGACGCTGACCTTTTTGATCCTGGCCGGCCAGGTCAAGGTCAAGGGCCAGCTGGGCGAGATGGCAAAGTGCCTTGAAGATGAGGACAAACGAATTGCTGACCTTGCCAGGATGTTCTTCACCGAGCTAAGCACCAAGGACAATGCCGTGTATAACCACTTTGTCGACATGTTCAGCTTGCTCTCGGCCGACAGGAGTATGGAGGAGGAGAGCTTTAGACGCATCGTCAGGTTTTTGCTTGGCTTTGTGGAGAAGGTGAGTCTTCGATACCTAACTCTTATGCCTTGGCCTGTGTGGGCTCTTTTGAAGGCTGATGCTGACCCACGTACGTTAGGATAAACATGCCAAGCAGCTAGCTGAGAAGCTGGCGGCCAGGTTGGCGAGGTGCGAGACGGAGCGCCAGTGGAATGATGTTGCGTTTGCGCTGGGACTGTTGCAGCATAAGAACGAGGATATCACGAAGCTGGTTGCGGAGGGGTTCAAGGTTGTTCAGGCCCCTGCTTAAAGCGACGCCAGGGTAAATAGTCATGAATAATGTGGCGCGTAAGAGCGAGGGCTCGGGCATATTGTGCGGATGGGCTTGGCTGGGCAGGCGTGCTGCAGTGGCATCTACGAGGCTTGGGCGGGGCGTCTGATTTTCATGGTCATCTTGTCGGTTTACAATTGTACGGTTTTAGAGATCAAGATTCTGTCGCTGTACTCCTTCTCCGAGGCCCGTAATGTCACGGTGAACCGTTCCTGTCAAGGACATGAAGGTACATAGAAAGCAAACAGCTACAGATTCCCAGCCATATCCCCTTGTGACTATCTTTCGGTCAGTCCTCGGGCGGGAACTGCAGAAAGCAGTTTCGTCTCACCCTAGCTCAAAGCAAAGACAACAATGAGAAGAAGTGAACGCCGAGTGATACCAATCCCAGACCCGGCGTGATGGTGAGCTCAGGATAACCCTTCTGTAGCGCCTGTCGCACCAATAGTCGATGTTGGAAATGAAGAGGAGTCGTAGTATAGCGATCTAGGCTATCCAAACGATCCAAATCCAGTCGGTAGGCCCTGAGCAGCCGGCCCTTAGCCTGGTCAGTCTAGGGCAACATCCGACAGAGGGAGCCAACAGAAGCAAAAGCTTAGACACCTCAGCGATCCTGCGAGCCGGTGAGCGATTCTCAACGCTCATATTCCACCTGTATGTAATCAACGAACACCTATGTACAACCTGCCTCTAACCGCAAGCAAGTCCCTGATGCAGCCTTTTGTTTCCCTTTTCTAATCCCGCATCCGCAAGATACTCATTCCTTCGCCACATTCGCCGGTGTCGCCGCAAATGTCGGCCGGACATACCTAAACAGCAGACACCCTTGTCAACCAGCAGATTCACCTCCCCTCGAGTGAAGCAGCAAAGACTCACCTGTCCGCGTTATAAACTCGGAAATTGCCCCCAACCAAAGCCTTCTCTCTCTCCTGGTCTGCGATATGCCGCCTGACAAGATCGCGGTCTTCTTCGGCTTGGAGAAGAGGGATGAGGTGGATGCGCGCCCACATCTTTTCTCGCGCAAGCTCACTATTCGGATTCGTTGTTTGTCAGTACATGTACCCAAGGCAGAGGACGCTGGGGGTATGTATGTATGGGCCGAAAGCAAGGGGGATGTGTGTACTTTTGCTCGCGGATGCCCTTGACCACTCTGTACCAGCCGTAGAGCATCAGCAGGGCGCCGCCGGCGAGAAGCGGGCCGGGGCGGAACAGGCCGCGCGAGGGGAGGTTGCGCTGGTGAACAGAGATCCATCGGGTTAGCTGAGAACGAGAAAAAGTGATGCTCTGCAAACAGATTGAAATGTGACGGATGATTCCTAAAGCAGTTCCATAACCAAGCCTCTGCCTGGTAGTCAATGGCCGCGATAATCCCACCCGCTCATGCAGCGCGACAGCGTCGATCGAACCACCATCACCGCCCACCGACCACGGTCTCGGGCACCTCCCGAAAACCGCGCACCTAGGTCCCGTCGCCAAAAGGCTCACAATCGCCATCTTGTGCCTACAGTCCACGCTGAGAAACCCCGTATAAACCCACCTTGTACTGAACGGCGTCATAGCCGCCAGCAGGCGGCATGTCCTGCGGCATGGTGGGCGATGATCGGCTTGTCTTCTACCTCGGCTTGTGGTATCCCTGGGCAATCAATGGTCGAGGTTTTCGTTCGTCGTAGGGCCAGGCGCAGGGGAAAGGCCGCGGACGGGCGTATCGGGGCGTTTGAGCGCGATCGGCTTGGAGTGGAAGGTGCTGAGTTCTGGAGACTGGAGCTCAAGCTCGAATTGGCGATTCGAGGAGACTCGGCGATTGGGATGGATTACGTAAGAGGGGCAGGCAATGCAGCCAGGACCGCACAGTTTCTAGGGTATGGTTTGTACTGTATGGCACAGTGTACGTACATTTCACGTCCCGTGTCACTGCTCCCCTGACAAGCTTCGGAATGGCACATGCGCATCACCAACACGCAGCTGCGAACTCAAAGCAAAGCAGAACATGCATGCAAAGTATTGACCATGCCTCCCTAAACCGACCATGCCATACCGTACAACGAAGACAAAAAAACTCCGTCTGACCGGGTAGTAAGTAAGCCACCTCCAACCACCCGACCCTGCCCACGCTAAAACCAAACACCCAGATATACCTAGTCTCAACATGAATCAAGACAATCCCAAACAAGCTGGTACCCATCCGGCATGGCAAGATGGACCGGAGCGTACCGGTATGAACGAGCAAGGTATGTACTTTGTCCCGAGTCTAACCCTTCTCCACGTCCATAGTCCGCAGCGCGGCCTCCTCGGCCTCGAATTCTGCCTCAAATTCCGCCTCGAACTCGGCCTCCAGCTCGGCCTCATCAAAGTCCTCAGCATCATCATACCCACCACCATCCCCATTCTGCTGGCTGCCCTTGACCAGGGCCGCATCCTCCTCGTCTCCGGTGACTCTAGGCGTGGGCAGTCCGCTATCCACATCCGAGTGATACCGATTCCTCAGCGAGGAGCTATGGTGACTCTTCGCCCTGCGCAGCCTCTTGGCCGGCGTCTCGTCGCCTCCGGCAAGGGCATCTGACTCGGTGCCCGTCTCGGTGGCCGCGTCCTCGTCGCGCAATTTTCGTTTCTTTGACGGACTTTCCCCGGCAGCCGGTTTATCTTGAAGTGAGTGCTCTAGAGACCGCTCTTCACCCAGAGGAAGATCCTCGTCCTCATCCCTGTTCGTACCAGTTTCGTGGTCGTCCCCGTCTTCGTCCTCATCATCCTCATCCCCTTCCTCCTCGTCGTCGTCTTCGTCGGACCCGCTCGCAAGGAACTCGTCAAGCTCCGCATCTGCCGAACCCCAGTTAAAGGTTTTCAGCCCGTCAATCGGGGACAATTGCCCATCTTCGAGCGCGTCCGGGAGCAGGCCCTCGTCTTCATCGTCCATCCCGTCGTCCGATGACTCGTCATCGTCGTCATCGTCATCGTCATCCTCCAACTCTCTAGTCCGCCCAGATGCAGTGACCAATTTTAACCTCGGGTTTTTCCGGCCCGAGCCATTTGGCAGCTTACCCGTCTCCTCACTCCCACTCTCCTCCCCCTCAGCGCCGACAGCAGCACCGTTCCCTTTCTCCTCTTCGGGCAGGCGAGAAGTGAACAGGTACGGCGTCTCATCCACGGCTTCCCATTTAGTGAAGCACTCGGCGAGCCACTCGAGACTCACAATCTTGATGTGCGGCCTTCGCCTGGCCTCAAGCAGCTTTTCCCTGCCGGGTTGGGAGGCATTGACCACAAGATGAGTAACGTCGCGGCGGACGCGAGGAACGAGGTCGGCGCCAAAGCTCATGATCTGCAGGCCAATCTCGGATTTGTAGATATCCACGTCGCGCGCGAGCACGCCGGACAGGACGATCCGTTTCCCACGCAACACGCGTGACTTGGCCTCGTCCAGCAGGTCACCGACGTCGGGGACGGCCTCGAAGTCGACGTTGTTCGCGCCTGCCTGGTGCACCGCGCGCTCCTTATCATAGCGGTCGTAGAACATCTTGTGGAGGTTGGTCAGGTGTCGCTCGAGGAATTCGAGCTCGTGGTCGTCGTCGAGCAGAACGCGGCGGCGGTGTGCCGGCGGGGACGACGAGCGCGACTCGGATCCGTCATCGGATTGCACCGTCACCTTCTCGGCTTCCTCGTCCTCCCAGTCGAGCTTCTCTTGCAGCGCCTGCAGCGGCCGGTCCTTGATTTGCTTCTCGAATGTGCGCTGCTGCTCCTCGACCTGGAGTTTGGTGACTGCGGACTCGTCTTCTTTCTTGTCGACCGCTGTCTCCGAGGGCTCTTTTTTCGATTTCTTTTTGACGCCGTTCGACTTGAGGAGGTCCTGGCGTTTGGGGAGAAAGCTGGAGTTGATATCGCCGATGCCCTTGAAGAACTCGTACGGCGACACCTTAATGAGGTTGGGTCGGTTGTCCGGCCACACGTCGGAGCGGTCGTCGATAATCACCACCATGTGCGTGCTCACGGGGAAGAGGCGCTGCAGACTTTTGGACCACATGTTGTGGTTTTCGTCGCGGCTAATGACGCGGTTACCAAACAGTTTCCTGTCCGGGTCGAGGACACGCGCGACGTTGTGTGCATATGCGCGCGTGCCCATGGTGTATACGTGCATCTCGTACATGTCGGCAATGCGCTTGAGGAAGCCCTCTAAGCCCGGGCGCAACTTGATGTAGTACCAGAAGCGGTTTGCCAGCCAGGCCGGGCCATCGTCCAGCTGAAATACCTTGACGTTCTTGACCGATTCGTGGTTGGGGTTGGTCGGGTCCTTCAGCCACTCGCCAACGGTGGGGTCGACGCAAGCCTGGATAACAGTCTGATCCAGGTCTACTACCAGGCTCAGCTTGCGGCTCTGAAGCAGTCGCCGCTGCAGTTCCTGCTCGGTGCGCTGGGCCTGGGCTGCGCTCACGGTTAGGTTGGTGCGATCGTGTATCATGCTGATAGGAGCGCGGTGCGTATCGCGGGACTCGGCGGCCCAGTTGACCTCGGTCATGTCCTTCCCGCAGATGGCGCAGAGGCCTTGAAACTGGATTTCATGCGAGCACGCCTCCTTGACCAGCATACAGGGCGCATCCGCCTCGATGCGCTGGCCTTCGTGAATATTCCACTGCTTCAGCTCACCGTCTGTGGGCGAATCCCAGTTGACGATGGTCGTCTGCTCCTCCATCCACGTATTTTCCCGGAGATTGTCGCCGACCTCCTTCATCCACTTGAACGAGTACTGCATCAGCGGTTCTTGCTTCTTAATCGTGTCGCCAGGCGACTTGAGCAACTTGACAATAGTAATAGGGTACCGCAACCGGCTCCCCAATCTGATTGGTTTGCTCATGGCGGCGGGGAGAAAGGGAATGTTGGGAAGAGGTCGAGTTCGATGTTGGGATGTACCAGTCCGATAGACTAGGCCTCGGAGATGAGGTTATGTCTGAAGTGTCGCAAGCGGTTGGTTAGTTAGCCGTGTCCTTTGAACAAAGAACTGACCAAGGGGCCGTGTGGGTGTGCTTTGAGGTTTCGTACGCAGGAGGAGCTCCCCAAGTTGACACTAAACCAGTATCGCACAAGCTTGAATCACCCATCGCGCAAGCAGCGCGTCCTGGAAAGCTGAGAGCAGGTGTCGACTCAAGTATGGGTAGCGGACAATGCGTTGGTTATGCGATTCGCCGAGCACACACAGTGATGCAAAGTGTTTTCGAGATCGCGCTGCTTCAAAGCTCAGAACCGAGCTATGTAATCAATCGCACGCGCTGCAAAGAAGTCGATGTGGGAAACTGGTCCAGATCCAGCTTAGCGCTAGGCTATCGTGGGGCACAGTGCCGTGCTGGTCCAAGCTTCAGCAGCTGTCGGATGGATGTGATTCGCTGTCAAAGGTGGGTTGAGTGGGGCAAATCTTGGAAAGTAGAAAGAGCTCGAGCCACCGCTTCAAGGACTCGCAGCGGAAAAGAGTCGAGGAAGAGACAATAAGTAATGTAGCGTGCAGTCGCACAGTCAAAGAGAATTTAAGTCGATGTGAATGGTAGAGTACTGTGCGATGGACCAGGCTGCTTGCTCCGTAATCGAAAAAACTGCAGGCACGAGAACTGCCCGTGATTTTGGGAATCGTGGGGTGATGTAATAGCCGTTTGGTTGTATCGCGTGTCGGCAAGAGGTCCAGCAGGCACAGAGGGATGGGCCCTAAAATCGGGTGGGATGGGCAGGTCCTTTTGTACCTTTCGTAAGACCCTCCCTGATTTGAGCGACTGCCGTTGGCCAATCTTCTGATGCTTGTACCCCACGTCAGCCACAATCCGCTTGCGGGGCAAGATCGTGGCTGCTCACTGTGGCGCCGCTTTGCGTATTTAAATGCAAGCATTTGACTTGTGAAGCCCAGGTTGCACCTGCCAATTTTGCTGTGCTGAGATCGGACCGTGTCGAACCATCAAACTACCGTTGCAGCTGAGAAATGCTGCCAGCATCTACTTGAAGCTTTTTTACAGCAAATTTGAGGATACTTCGAGTAGATGATGTGACACAGCCAATCAAATATGCGTCCTACAGTCCCGCGCGATTGGCGCGTTGTATTGTCTGTCACTGACATTGTTGCTCGCATCGTCGCAATCGCTGCCTTGAGTCCTAAGACTCGAGTGACTCAGCGTTGCTCAACCTCAACATTCACAGCTCTGAGACAATCAGCCACCCGAGAACACCGGAGACAGGTACATCCAAAGATTGAAAAGCTGAAAACAGATTCACAATCCCAGTGGCGGCTGAGGGTTCAATACGTAACCTAAAGAACGGGAATTCCACCCTTCTCTTCTTTGTCTCTTTCGGGGCACTGGAATATTCTAACCAACCAACCCTGAAAGAATGCATGGCGAGATAAAGCTGGAGGACATTGTAGCCCAGGCTCATTACACTAAAAGAAATGGAACGGTATAATGCCTCGACGGATGCTGCATGTTGCACTCATTCCGGAAGATACGATACTGTAAACACCCATTGGCTCAGGGTTCTCAGCTGTTTATGTTGACCGAACAACTACCTAGTACCATGAAGCTATTCCTGTAGCAAACGCTTGTGATATTGTTCAACTAGAGGGAATGGGACATTCCTAGCAGAGGAAGGGGGGGTCTCTGACCATACGGTCTGTCATGACATTGCAGTCCGGCACTAGCAAAGTGAACTGTAATGACAACATCATGGTACCTAGCCGGGGTCAGAATGTTTCCTAGCCGGAGTCCTGATGTTTATATAATGGCAGATACTTGCTAGTGCCGGACTACAATGTCATGAGACAGACCGTACGGTCAAAGACCCCCCCTCCCTCTGCTAGGTTTCTCTGTCTGCTGAAGCTGAACGGTGTTAACAACTCATGGATCCATGGTATGATGATGGGGCTAGGGAACAAGTTGAAGAACTAGATATTCAGCATCCGGGGTTGGGGATTGCGAAGGAACAAACACTGCAGCACTCCAGTCACAGTAGAAACAGGATGCCCACGGTGTCCCATCTTAGAGATGTTGGCAGATCACGTCCTTCAAGTTGGCTAACATGGTAAATCATTTGATCAGGCTTAAGCTAAGCCAATATCTGTGACACCGGGCCAATGGGGACCTTACTGAACTTCATTTTGTTATGATGATGTGTTCTTGTCTCCATCAAGCCAAAGATACCTGACAACGGCATTGACCAGCTGAGTCCTTCCCTGTCCATCTGAACTTCTGAAGTCTGTTTGAGTCGGCCGTTGGTTCCTAACCCAAACTATATGGATCCCTTTAAGAAGTTTCATTTGCCCAAGATGTCCACAGCTATCGTTGACCGGTGCTCGGCTGGGGGTTACACTCTACAGGGGCTGTACGGAGGAGTATTCATGGGGGATATCGAAAGAAGGAACAAATACTGCGAGTTCCCGGCGAGTCAACCAAACAGCATTAGCAGCACTCAGTTCTATATACTCCGTAGCAAGCAGCGGATCAAATGTGTGGTAGTGTAGGATATGATTAATGACTGGAGGCTGATGAGAAGCAGCCAACAAGGGCTGACGAGTGGAAGTGTAATGCCCAACACCGCGAGCTGACCAGCAATCCTCCAAATACAGTAATACAGTCATGAACCAACTCAGAAGGCCAGCGAGCCTCATCCCGCCCCCAATTATGTATGAGTTTCGTCCTTTCATCCCAATCCTCCAGTCCAGTTGCTGTCTGTGTATGATGCCTAGCGATAACCCACATCCTGTCCGTCTGCGTCATTACATAACCAAAGCCACAAACCGCACACTCACACCGAATGTGCGTATACCACAGTCATCGCATCATTACGTTACCGTCTCCCAAACTCCCGAACCATGTCTAAAGATAAAATGAACAAACAACACAACTCATTACATCCTCAACCGCAGCCCCGTGCCAGCAGGCGGAGGCGGACCCTCGCCAACCGCCCCGCCAAGAACCCGGCTCCCCAGCGCCCTGCCACTGCCAGGGCTCCTGGGGGAAGAGAGGTCAGCAACCGTCCTGTGCATGACCGCCTCAGGCGTCAAATCATCAATCACCTCGGCGTCCCCGCCGACGAACGTCCAGCTCTCCTCCTCATCCTCGTCGTCCAAACCAGCCACTGCGCCATCCGTGGCACCGGCAGCACCAGCAGCAGCAACAGCCGCGCGACGCGTCTGGTTCTTACTCGTCTTGGACCTGATCAGGTTGGTGGCGTACTCGAGGTCGCGGTAAATGCATTGAACAGCCGTTTCGACGCCGTTTTCCTAAACTTGGCTGTCAGCCTTACCGCTACCAGGAAACAAGTACCATGAAGCGGGCGAAACGTACCTTGCGAATCTGCTCCCCCAACACCCTCGCCTTGACAATCATCCTCTCGCTGTGCGTTGCCTCCCAGAGGGCCCTAGCAAACGACGTGGCCCCCCACTTTTTGAGACAGATACCGACGCCCAAGTCCTCGACGCGACTACCAAAGAAGAACTGGTCGCCAAAAAACGGTCGGATGATGGTCGGAATGCCGGCCCTCAAACTCGCGCCGGTGGTCCCGCTACCGCCGTGATGCGCGGCGGCATCAATCTGTTTAAACAACCAGTCATGCGGGGCAGACTGGATCTGGTATATCTCGGGCGGCAACTGCGGCTCGGCCTTCTTTTCCCCGTCGCTGTCACCCACCCTCACGTCCCTATCCCTTCCCGGCAGCCGATCACTCCACCCCTTGCTCAAGATACACCTGACATCGGCTTTCAGGACCGCATCAATAACCTCCTGCGTCATCTTGGCCGGATCAGGGACGATGATGGACCCAAAGCCAACGTAAACAAGCTTCTTCTCGTCGCGCCTCGCCCGCTCAATGAACTCAGTCAGCTCCTTCGGCGGCTGGAACCTATCCCCGCCTTCGTCGAGGAACCAATACCCCGTGACCCTGATCCAGTCGCTGTAGTCCAGTGGCGGCGGCACGACGTACGGCGAGAAGTTATACAGGAACGGAACCTTGTTGGTCTGCATCTTCTCAAAATTCGTGTTCGGCAATTTCAACATGGTCCTGCGCCATCGATTGACCTGGTGGGCGGTTGTCTTCCAAAAGACATTGTCAAACATGACGTAAGTGACATAATTGTATGCACCGCCCATCTTTTGGCCGGGCATGATGAAGGCGTGGGGGTAGGCGCGGGTGCGGGTCCAGGGCATGGTGAAGGCGCGGAAGTAGGGGATGCCGAGGGCCTCCGCGATGTGGATACCCGCCATGGCGCTGGGAGACTCAATCAAGAGATCGCTGCCCTGGCAGGCATTCCAGGCGGTGCGCAGCAGCTCGTCGAGCCAACCGCGCATCTTGGAGTTGGCTTCCTTGAGGAACGCCCAGGTGAAAGTGCCGTTCTGAATGCACAGTTGCATCAACTCGCCTGGGTCGCCGCCGACTAGTGCAAACTCGATGCCATGGCTCTCAATCCAGTTCTTGAACTCGCCGTGGGTAGCAATGCGCGGTTTGTGGCCCTCTTGAAGCAGCTTCTTGCAGAGCGCGATGTAGGGCTGCACGTCGCCGCGTGAGCCGATGGTGAGGCAGGTGATTCTCATTGGCTGGCTGGGCTTGAAATTCACGAAGGAGGCCTTGGGGTCGTCAAAGAGAATGGTAGGCGCGTCGGAACTGCTGGATGCCTGGTTCGGCAGCTGTACTTCATGGTCGTGGAACTCTTCATTCCTTGCCCGCTGCAATGCATCGTGCTCTGCCACAGCGATTTGGGCATCTTCGTCCTCAGCTCCTCCCAGAACAGCCGAGTCTCGCAAGTAGCGCGTCGCCTCGAGATTTCGCAGGATCGCGATGGTGCAGCCATCGCGGGTTTCGGCGCGGCCAAATTCGAAGAAGAGCTCCTCGTGTCCGCGGATGACAACCACGAGGCCTGCATAGCCAAATCGGAAGCCCTTCTCCTTGTCTACGTTCTCAATGTCCTTCAGTGGAAGGATGAGCTTGGTCCGAGTTCCTGGCAGCAAACTCCGGAAGCAAAAATGTCTGTCGCCAATGTAGATCTTTCCATACAGTGGCAGAACTCGAATCAGGTGCCCGAAATAAGTAGCTTGCAGCTTCTCGTTCTCAGGTAGGGCAAAGTGAGCCCTGAACCGGGCTTCCGAGTTGGCTCTCTCCTCCGGGTCTTGTTCTGTGTCTTCTTCGTCGGTTCGCAGGCCGGTGGGTTCGTCATAGTGCTTTCCTCCACCTTTCCACATGCCGGATACCTTCTCGACGTAACCCATCGACTCTGTGGCCAACAGGTTACTCATACGCCTAGATTGTCGATCTAGGTAGCCCATCAACGCATTGGCTTTGCGGAACGGGTAGCCTCCCATTGCTGCAATGCTATGCAGAGTCGGCGTGGTCGGGCCTAGTTCGGTCTCTCCTGCTCCTGAATCTGTACCTTGGGCGGCGAATGAGGGTTGTTCGGATGCGTTCTTCGCGGATCGAGGCGCTCCGGATCTAGCAGCGGTCGCAGACAATGCCTCCTGGGTCCGCGGCGTGGATCGATGGATCGTGGGGCTATGAAATACATCACTATGTCTCAAAATTTGGCTCGCCGAGGGCTCTTCGCTGCTTCCGGAGGCAATAAGCGCCGACAGGCTCGCCTGGCTAGGATCGCCCAGACTCTGTACGTACGAATCGCTGCTTTCTTGCATCTCCTGCCCGGCGTGTCGGCTCCTGCTAAGAGACCGTCTCCTGTTACTAAAACCCAGAGTAGGGGACTCTGCGCGCACACCGGGTGACTGAGCGACATCGATGCTGCGTCGTCCAAAGGGCCTAAAACCATCGAAGCTGCTGCGGGGGCGATCGCTACTGATTCCGGGACTAGGGGAGGCATTGCGATCAGGCGACATAGGTGAGAGTGTGGCTTTGACGCCTTCGCTAATCTTGGCCGTGCGAAAGCTGTGTGTGTGTGCAACTTGCTCTCTGTTTCCGCTCGTACTTGACCGTTTTGAGGATGGCCCGCCTGAACTCTGCTCGGCATGATCGCTCTGGCCCTGGGCTTGGGACGAGGAGTCTTCGATAAGAAGCTTGAGCACGTTGATAGCCTCCTTGCCGTAGCTGAAGAATGAGAAAAAATACTAGCGGCGGTATTAGCAATTGCAAATGGGGCGAGAGGGTGTAGGCATACCTCGTCGATAGCATATGTTTCGTCGTTGTCGATGACACGGATCTTGCACGTCTCGGCAAAATCAAGCATGTGCGTCTCCTCGATATCAATGACATTCTCTATAGGCAGCGAGATTTTGACGCTATCGCCGTCGTTGTGTGACCTAAAAATGACCCTTTGGAGGCTCTTGACCCACTCCTTGGCGCTCTGCGAACTGTCGGCCCTGAAGTAGTAGGTGCGGTGGTGAGTGATGACCGTGAAATTGATCCCTTCCTTGTCCTTGTCAGTGATGTTGGCCGAGATGCCGTACCGCAGGTCGATCTGGCCGCTGGGAAAGTAGAGATCTTGGGGGTCGCGGTAGTAAGACAAGACGTCGCCTTTGAGACGAAACCAGTAGCGGTTGTATTTTGGATTCCGTTTGCCACATTTGGAAAGATAGCCCGACTTTGCAACCTCGTTCTGTGGGAAGAGTCAGCACCAAGCTCGGCGGCCGTGGAAGGGTTAGACATACAGCTTTCTTGGGAAGGTATGCGTAGAACGCAATGTGTCTAGCCGTGATGTACATGTATCCCTGGAGCAGAACATTCTGAAGCAACCAGCAGGGGTATTCTATTCCGAAGTCAGTCATGTACGGGGTGTAGTGCAGCGGGCCACATCCTCACCTTCAATGACCTCCTCTGCCCGTTCGAATTCGAAGATTTCCTTGAGCTTTCTGGCGAGGTCTGATGGCCCGCCCTCGTCGGCGTCCGGGCCCGCAAGTTTCTCGCCCGACAATCGTTCCAGATCGAAACTAGGTCGCATCGCCAGCTCAGCGCGGGCTTCTAGCATTCTGCTCATGACAGGTGCTGTCCTGGTGTCGGACCGTGTGATCTCGATACTGGGAGGCACGGCTGACAAGGGCGGCGAGGCGGAACCCATCTCGCCGGTCTCGTGCGATTGCCCTCCTTCGTGGGAGCTGACCTTGGGCGACTTTGGGGATCTAGATTTGGAGGATCTCAAAGTAAGCCTCGAAAACCCTGGCACGGACCTGAGCAGCCGACTCTCGGATATCTTCCTTCTGTGGCGGTTGTCTGCTTTAGCGCCCGCGCCGGCTTGCTTCTCTAGAACCGTCGTCCGAGCTAAGGGGAACCCTTGGCCCCCTGTATCTAGCTTTAGGGCTCGGTGACCGGCGATAGTCTTGGCCATGGGGCTTTCACCGTCATCTTCGTCATCAGAACTCTGGCCCTCAAAGCGATCGGCGAAGTCTGCCTGGCTGCCGGCTGCAGCTATCAGGCCGAAGATGCTTTGATTCATATTCATGAACATGCCGCCGTGGTATCCCTGTGGCCGCAGCACCTCCTCTTCGCTATCTGCCTTGTCGCCGTTGTCCTTGAGGCGGTCGGGCAGCTCCATGGTGGGCGTGTGGTCGCCATCGCGGCGCCTCTTTTGCAGCTTCCTCGATACGCGGCGCGCCGCACGCTCGTCCTGGTGGGAGGCCCCGGGTCCCCCGGTTGGGGGGGATAACGGGACACTATGGAATTGAGACGTAGGCGTTTCCGGTGGATGGGAACTCAAGTGTTGATGTGACGGCGCGGCCCCGGCGGGCGCTATCGGTTGCGGAAGTGGCATGGTTCGCGGCTTTTGGAGGTGAGATTGGGAATGACCTAAGCTACCGAGGCAACCATGTGAGCTGGTGGGTAACAGAGATGGCCCGGGTTCGGATCGAGCGTCGCAGGCAGGATGGACAAACCGATAATTAATCGTCGTCTTCTGTCGACAGCGGGAAATCAGGCGCCCAGGCGGATGCCTGGCTAAGGGGGAAGTTTTCCCGCTGGAGCGACCAAGCGTTGCCTCGATGACGGCAGACGATGGCTGAGATGGCTAAGCGAGTCTAGCGTGCGTATAGGGCTTATCCGGCGGAGCTGATGATCGTCCGTATTCGTCGTACTCGTACTTGAACATGGATTTGTCCAACAGGGTTGCGGAACTTCTGAGACTTGAATAGAATATCTTGGTGGCCGGGGCGAGAGCTCCCTCAAACGGTCTTAAGTTTGGTAGGCCAGTATCAAAGTGACACCGCTAGTTAGGTTGCTGCACCCGACCTCTGAGTGCTCTGTGTTGCTGGTGTTTCTTAACAGCGAACGCAAGGAGACGAGGTCCGAGCCGCAGCGCAGCGCTTGGCAGTGGCTGCCAAGTGATTCCTGCTAGGGAGCTAAGCGAGTTTGGGTCAACAAGGTTGTCAAGCTACGGCGCTTTGTTGGCGTAAGTGGCCGGCCGAGTGGAAAATTCCTTTAGCAGGTAGGAATTGAACTAGCGGGGTAACGTTATGGGTCCCCGGGGTGAATGTAGTAAAAAAGTTGTGTGCAAAAGTGCAACTGGGACACTTACGCCAACAAAGCGCCGTATTAAGCTTCCCTTTCTATCCTGCAAAGGTGGACAAATGCGTTTGATTCAAGCGTTCACTCTCGGGCTACATGATTTCACATTTCCTTCGTCCGAACCCCAAATACGAAGTATGGATTGGTGCAGGTGCTGTGCTACTGTTCATCGGGAAGGACACTAGCAGACCGTGGTCGGAATGCTTACTGCTTATCGATAAGAGCGCTCATGATGCACGGAGCCACCTGACACTTCCAGGTTTATTAGAGCCACGATCACATGCGTGAAATCACTCCACTGGACTTTCCCCAGCAACCTTTCTTTACGTGAACAGATGCAACTCATGGAATGACAAAGCTCAATGGCAGGTAGCATTCAGCTCTCACATCAAAGATCTCGGTACCGTGCCCTCTCAATGGATTTTAAAGATAACACCTCGCCCACTATCCGTAAGGCACAGGCTTCTTCGCGGGACCCAGAGAACGCTTTTGGTCGTGAGAAATCCGGATCAGCAGAGTTGCAGAGGGCTACCTTCGATCCTCCTCTGTTCTCGGCTATTAAATCAGTTACTGCTCCATAGTTTCAACTTCCATCCTGGCCAGATCAGGGTTGACAGCTTTGTTCATAGGGAGCTTCCAGGACACACACGAAGGTTCGGCCTATTAACTTGCTCAGAAAGGAAATAGAGATCTTCCAGAATTGCCATCTTTGGCACCCTCGGCCGCATACGGAACATGAGCTGATATGCCTCCAGCTTGGCCAGCCCTTCGATCTACCACCGCGAAGCCCCAGTGATAAAGCCGGCCTCCTGCCATCGGGCATGTCGTTGGTGCTAAGAACCGGCAGGTCAGACTTCTTAACACTCGTGGCTCCAAGCGGGAAGGTCGCCACACTGCCCATGATGCCTCGATGCCTACGGACAACTTACAACGTGTCGCACGTTACACGGGACCTGAGCCTCATCCCGTCGAAGCTGGCCTACGGATACCATCTGCAACACCGGAATCGTAGTGCAAATACGCGGCAGCACTAATGGCCCGATTCGGATCTACGGCGTGGACCTTGTACGCGCTTCTAGCGAGACTAGTTGTTAGACATCCTCCCTCCATACACAGTCAACTTCGGCTTCAAAGGCCCCGGGATCAAACAGTCAAGCTGAAACCAGAAAGCCCAGCTCGAGGAGATTGCCATACCAAGTGAGCGGTCTGACCTTTGGGACCGGCCGATAGACCACCCCTAACACCTCAGACTGGTTGTGACTGCCCGGCCGGCGACATTGGGGGAGGGTTGGATGTAATGTTTGTCGTCATGTGCTGCTTGCTACTCTAAGCTCGTCTTCTCCCTCATCTCAACCGGAGATGGTGTGGCAAACTGAAGAGACAGAGTCCCCGAATCAACCACAATGCGACGGGGATCAGGACTAAGCCGGGCTTCTAACCGGCGCGGAGCGGAGGTGGACGGGGGTCGGAGCTGATATTGCTGCCCACTCATTTCACGATTTTGGCCAGCGCAGAAAGTTGCTGTGCCGCATGGCGCTGTGAGATTGGGTTCTTACGATGCTGCCTATGGTGGAAGGGCCCGAAGGGAGCGGGGTGGTGCAGATGGATGTCTATTGGTGCGTCGCACTCGCGGGGAAGGGGTACCTATTGAGGAGTGGATGCGGTTCCAAGCCGGACCGATATCCTGAGCTGGGCCGGAGGGAGGTCCGCGGGCGGCGGGGATTTTGAGACTGATAGCCCGCAAGGCCATGTGCGGAGCGTTCTAGCTCTTCAACTGGGTTACTCAAGGTGGGATGCATACGTGTTCTGGAGGCGGTCACTTTGCTTTCGCCGAGATGGTGGCTATCATGGCTATTTTACACTGCTGCTTCAAGTTGGGTAAGGTACAGTTTGCGACTGCTGGAGGGAGGAAACGGAAGTGGAGTCCGTTCCGGCTTTGCCGCGCGGTCACTCATCGATGGTGTGCGGCAGTCTGCTGGGCGTGAACCGGGTCTCGGAGTAATCATCAGAGGCCAAGAAAAGGGGAAAGGGTGCAGTAGCCTATGGTACGTCTTAAGAGGTTGGGTAGGTTCCTTACCCAGTAGGAAGCTGCAGGTAGGTTACCATGGATGACTTAGTCGTAATAATTTCCAGCCCGTCCTGGGCAGCCGTGTACGTACAGCAAGTACGCCACAGCCGTCCAATATACCCGGACTAGATAGCCATGGAACCAATCTCTGCAGTGATTACCTACAGTGCAGCTGTACCTTCAGACTGCAAAAATTAGGTAGTCTCGCACGTTGGTAAGGCAGGCGAGGGGAAGTTGGGGAACACTTCCAGGTTACCTCCGGTATGCCAGGGCATTACCTAGCAGAGGAAGGGGGGTTTCTGACCGTAGGGTCTGTCTCATGACATTGCAGTTCGGCACTAGCAAAGTGAACTGTAATGACAACAGCATGGTACCTAGCCGGGGTCATAATGTTTCCTAGCCGGTGTCCTAATGTTTATATAATGGTAGGTACTTGCTAGTGCCGGACTATAATGTCATGAGACAGACCCTATGGTCAGAAACCCCCCTTCCTCTGCTAGGTAATGC